CAGAAAAAGTCACAAGCTATAGACCAAAAATGAGCTAGGAAAGGTTGCTTCTATAACTAAAAGCCTTCAAATTGACTGCTCTGGGAGTTCTAAATATGAGAACATCTGATAAGTCCAGTCTCATAACAGAAAAGGCAGATGTTGTAGGTCTGTTTATTATACATGGAATGTGGTTCCCCAAAGGTTCTGATAAGGTTTTAAGATCACTTTAAGCTGGGGTACCTAACTTTCAAAACCAAAAAAGTGATTGTTATAAAGTCCATTGTCAGTGGTTGGTTCCATCACAAGTTTTCACATGGATGCATTTTTGAATCAGCTTTTTTCAGACAGAATAGAGGACCACCCACACTCAACCAATCAGCTCTCAGCCCAAAAAGGCAATTATGCAAAAGATAATAGTATGAAAACAGAGTGTTGTGACCTGGTTTGTTCGGAAATTAAAGCTGCACTAACTGACTTTGGGATTTTGAAGCCGCGGACTCGCTGGCCTCTCTCTTTCTGCTCCCCTCCCCGCACCCACGAAGCTATCGCCCCCCACACACACACAGTGTTGAGACGGAGCTAGCCTCTAACCCCCCATAGAACGATAGAACTGGGAAGCGCGGAAGAACGAGACTTTCTTTTGGATGGCTGTTTCGCTGTGTAAGCAGTACCCGGTGACGAAGACGAGGAAGTTTCAGGTTAGCTCCGCCGCTTGTTGTGCTAACTCAGCTGTCTGTGCTAACGGACCTGGAGATTTCTCACGAAAGTGGGGGCTAGTGGTCCACTGTGATTGGTCACAATCTGCGACCCGAAACACATTCTCTTCCTTGTTTCATCAAAACTCGATCTAAAATATAATGTCAGGCCAGCACAAATCTGCGCTACTTTTTCTTTAAAAGGACGTATATCCCAATGCACTACATGGACATGGATAGCATTTTCGTAATTAATACGAAAATAAAGTCAGTTAGTGCAGCTTTAACAAGACTCTTTCTGTGGGCGTGCAGACATCATTCATTAAACCAAAAAGTTAGGTACTACAGCTTTAATGTAACAGTTGATAGTGACTGTTGGGGTTGCAAGATTCCAGGGATTTCCAAAGAGATAGAAATATGCAATGGGAATTAATGAGAAATTAAAGGAATTAACAGGATTTTTTGGGACTGAAAGAACTATCTTAGAATTCTCACAGTATCTTATGTGTATATTTTGTTGTAACTCAATCCACACAAATTAGCCTTTTTTTCTCATTTCAATGAATTGCTCGAATGCATTTTAAAGTGAGTATTTTGATTGTTTAACAGACTTGCACCAGTATAATTTAGTGATCCTTACTTTGACCAAACTAGCAGCTAAAGACACTAACAATGCTGTGTATGGAAACAAGGAGAAGTGGTTTACATTTTATTCTGTTGAAAGTCAGACTGTGATAAACATGGCATTTGTACAGTAGAAGACATAATATGTATCTCTGTGAAATCGAATAAAGAGTGAGCTATGGGTTTGTGCATAAAAAAATCAACCATAGATATCAACAGCATATGATGATCACAGACGTAAAAACCAATCATTGTCAAAAATGTAATGACGACTACATTTCGGTCGATATTTTCATGATCTTGCTTTGAGATTCTCAGAGACACCACTGATGATTTTGGTTCAATAGATTCCCATTTAAAATCGTCAAACACTGACCCTAGCCTTAGCCCCGTAACCCTAGCCTTAGCTCCTTAACCCTAACCCTAGCACCCAAACCCTAACCCTAGCCTTTGCCCCTTAACCCTAACCCCCACACCCTAACCCTAGCCTTGGCCCCCAAACCCTAACCCTAGCCCCCAAACCCTAGCCCCCAAACCCTAATCCTAGACTTTTCCCCTTAACCCTAACCCTGGCTCCCTAATCCTAACTGTAGCCTTAGCCCCTTAACCCTAGCCTTTGCCCCTCAACCCTAACCCTAACCCCCAAACCCTAACCCTAGACTTTGCCCCTTAACCCTAACCCTGGCTCCCTAATCCTAAATGTAGCCTTAGCCCCTTAATCCTAGCCCCCAAAACCGAATCCTAACCCTAGCCCCAAAACCCTACAGCCCCCGACTCCCTATCTTTAAAAATAACCACAAAAAACATTTAACTCGAGACATAATTAACCTTTTTGAATCAAGATACATTGAGATTTTAAATAGTGTAAGCATCATAGCCAGCAGTTTGTCCTCTCCCAGACATTGCTAATATTTACAAGCAGTTAAATACCCTTTTTTGGAGAATCTTTCAAAACAAGATCATGAATGACAGGGGTCTCCAAGCTACAGCTCGGGAGATACCGGTAGCTCACCAGCCCTTGCAATCCCTACAGGATTTAGAAATTACAGAAATTAAATGAGCAAATAATTATTCATTTAGAGCCATTAATGCTAATAAAACTGTAACAAAATAGGCTCAAAAATCATAGTATACCTTTAAAGGAGTTGTTTTCTGCCATTTTAGATCCTAGTAGCTCACCATGTGAAAAAGGTTGGAGACCCCTGATACTATCGACACATCGGTGGAATCAGAATCTTTTGCAGCTGGAAACACATAAAATAAATGATACATGTCTAAACCTTTACAGACACCTTTTCTCCAGTCACACGATCCGGACAGAGCATCCAAAGTGCATCATTAGCCCTGTTCAGAATACAAAAACATACATCATAAACAAGAATACAAACCATTGTTCCTCGCACAGTTCACCCCCGTCTCTGTGCGCGTCCAAATCCAAAGTGCTTTGAGAGAAGTGGGAACAAGTAGTCCTATGTTTTTTCACATATGTCCACAAATGCTATATAAATAAGAGAGACTTAATATGGATCCAAAGCTGACACTATCAAACACATGCTGTGACAGGAATCCCTTTAGAAGTCCATATGTAACTATAATGTTTAGTTACACAAGTAGTGTTCACAAGTAGATTGAACATACAGGACATATACAGGAGAAAAAATGAAATTGACAAAAAGACACAATAATGAAAGTACAGTATAAAAGCCATACCTAACTGTTTGGATGGATTTTTATTTTCTATAATTTCATGTGGATTTTATTTTACTGTAGGTCAACCTTAAAGATGCACTAGGAAAGTTTTCTACAGGAAATTAAACTTTATATGTATATATTTATTTATTTTTTCTCAAACTGCATCTGACTGGAGAAGTGCTTCCTTAATATTCTTTAGGTGTAATTTGTTTTTGTTTTTCTTCAAAGTAATAGCGCATGCGACTTCAGGGGTGTCCAAGCATTTTAGCAAAAGGGCCACTTAACTCATTGACTGCCATTGACGTATTTGTCTGAGACCCTCTTTTTGGCTGGAGATTACCGGATAACAAAAATAGCTAGAAACAAACTGGGGTTTAATATGGTATAATACGTATTACAATTTATTTTGGTTTACTAGCATGAACTATCTCACAAAAGCTATATAAGAGCCTTTTATGGAATTTTGTGACGAGTAAAGAACTGGATGAGAGAGGTTTCTTTACAACAAGATATAACATGTTTATATTGGCAGAGGTGAAGTTGGCTGGATGACACTGTGAACTAAAATTCTAAAAATACACTTTGACTTCATTCCGGGCCATAGTCTACAAAGGGATGGACATTGCTAAGGCACTGGCTAAAGGACTTGGCATTCGCTGAATAAATACATAAACCCCTAATGACTGTTCAATCAGGCGCCGTATGTCCCTGAATTCGAGTTCCCGACCACAGAGCAGTTTCTCTCTTTGCTGGATGGTTGGCATGTGAATATTTTGCTCCAAATTCCCTCTCATGGAGCCTGTTCAGGTTGGCTCTAATTGGTATCTGGATTGGAAAAGGGTTAACTCTAAGCTCTTGGTTTGTCGACATCGTAGCATTAATTTAATAACTTTGCGCTAAAATATTATTTAACTATAAAAGTGTTTGGTTCTTCTATTGACAGACAATAGTGCGTTGTGTGGTATAGTTAACCAATACATTAGCGAATTAGCATAGTGATAATGATTTTTGGGACAAATTATTGCAATATAATTCAATATTAATATTTTGGCACACCTCCTAGCTAGGTGTGTATTTATATTGAACCCCATTACGGCCCTCTTTGGACTTCTTTAACTGTAAAGTGTGCTATTTCTGTTTGATTTAACTTTATACAAGTTGTGGTAATGGCAGTATGGCATTTAACTAATCAGATCCATGGAAAAGAGTAAGAATTAATATTTTCAGGGTATTTCTGCGACAATAAAAACTGAATAAATACAAGAGAGTGGTACTTAATGTCATGATCTGTGGCATTCCAGATACAAGAAAATTTACCCATTACATCTGTAAAGACCTGGACTTACCATTTTGGGCCTTTCATAATCATAGTTGTTGTCATCCAACATGTGTCACTTTGGTCATTTCTGTATTGCCAAGGAAAACGTTGAGTAATCAGTGTTAATGAATGCCACAAATGCCAACAAAATCTTGTGTATCTGAACATGCAGCAGCGTGCATCATCGTAAGCTCTCTGTTTCAACTTGTTTGATAGCAGTCTTCTGGTGATAATAAAGAGTAAATGATTTCTGTCGTTGGCTGCAAATGAAACGTACATATTTCACATTCTTTGGTCCCTTTCCACAGACAAAAGCAGGTAGTTTCGTCTTTCCAACAAGTCCCCATTCTTGCATCAAAGTTCCTAAACGTTTGGCTTGATGTCTTGAAATGGTTCAAGACCTCGATCCTCGATCATAGGACTAGTAATCCATTTGCATCTTTCCGAACGTCTGTATCCATCCACTGCAGTGTCCTTTGAGGCGAGAACATAGACAAAACCCAGCTTGAGCTTTTTCTATGTTGGTCCGAAGACATGCTTTTGTTTGCGTCAACGTGGAAGCCCCCAGACAACCTCAGTCCAGTCCACACTTCCACTCACTTTGCTTTGAAACAGGCCGGGCGACTCCGATGGGTAGCCTTGCATTTGCAGAGTCCTCCTGGCCAACAAGAGCGAACGGGACTTTACTCTCAGTGGCACACGCTGAGATCTTTTCGAACCGAGCACTTTTTGCATTGGACCACGCAACACCAGTGAAAACGACACAAGCAGTTCTCTTCAAACACCACAGTCTCCTCTTTGTAGCCTCTCTGACAGCACAGAAGGTCACAGCCGCTGATGTCCAGGGCCGTGCTGTTGCAAGTGCGCCCCCTAGTGCCCAGGGAGCCCGTCTTGCGGTTGGCCAGGCAGAAGTCGGGCGATTCGTCTGAGTATATGAGGTCCTGTTTGTCGGGCGGTTTGATGTTCTGGCCCACCGGGATGAGGGTTTTGCCGTCGTTGCCGCCCATGACTTTGGAAGCGCCGTTGAATCGTTCCAGGAGTCGGTCGCCCACTTCCCGGAAATGCGGCATCTTCTTCCAGCAGGTGCGGAGCGTGCAGGAGCCGGACAGACCGTGGCATTTACACTCGGTGCGCATGTACAGCTTCACAGCCTGCAATGAAGAGAGAGAGAGACGGAGAGAGAGAGTAAGTCATCTGTATTTACATTATATAGCGCAGTTTTACAGACCAAGGTCATCAAAAGGTTATAATATTCAGAGTTCAGATATTGTTTCATTCTTTCCACACGGTGAATACATAAAGGCCCAACCGACATTTACTCACTCATTACATTCAGACCTATTGTGCAAAAAACTGGACCACCCGGAGGAAACCTTCTCAGACACAGGGAGAACTCCTCTCAGAAAGACCCTGTTCCAACCAGGATTAAAACCCAGGACCTTCTAGCTTAGAAGCGAGAGTGCTATCCACTCAGCCACCGTATCGAGAGATTTAAGTACTTTGAGTTCAAATACATTTAACTTCAGGCTTCTGGGAACCTTTCCGTGAATTTTTTTACGCTAATTCTAATTCCCACATTCCAGTTCTCAAGTTTTCTTTTACTCAAGAAAGACTTTGAGGCTCAGAGAAAAGTTTAAATTGTGCGTCCAAACTGTGAATGGGCGTGTGTCAAACATGCAGCTCTACACCTGGAGGATAGATTCTTCCACATTGTTTCCATGGAAATACTTTTAAAATTGATGTTGTGATTTTATGCATGTTAATAATAGAAATGTATCTCACAGTAATTCAATCAGTTATAGACCCTAACATTACACACACAAACATGTGATTTATTTACCTTCTTAACTTCTCATTTTATAATTACAAAGGTTGTGGCATTGAGCCAATAGAAAATATTTTGGTAAACAATAACTGATATAAATCAGGAAAAAGAAAATGCTTATTACATAACTAAACTTCTAGTTTATAATAATAATAGATGTGCTTTATTGGACCCTCATACGTTTTACATGGCATTAGTCATTCACTCTATACACAATTGAAGTGAACTACTGTGGCCATAGCTGCCCTGGGGCAAATCGACCGAAACATAAGAGTTGGTATTGAAGTGAAGTTGAAGATAGTAAAAAAAACATCCTTAACTGGTGTTGCATGTAACATTTTTTTCACCTTTTCTAACATTATGCAAAATCCGGAAAATATATTCTCCCTGAAGCTACAGATGTACTCAGATTAAATTATTATCTAGAATTCATCAACACTTTAATTATAACCTTGAGAATCCCTATACCGTCTTATATTCAATAAACAGACTTAAACCCAGGCTATTTTGAAGTGATTTCACTCTGGATTGGACATGACAAAAATTGGACAAAAATGTATCACACGCACTTACGAGTCATATCAGAGACCAGGACACACTCACACACACACACTCACACACAAACAGGTAGCACAGACACTTCAGAGATAGATAGATAGATAGAAGATAAAAGTAGACGCTATTAAGAAGGAATTCAGCTCCCATCCCCCTCTTCTCTCTCTCCGCCTCTGGGCCTTTTACCATCTAACAAGGCTTGACAACAGATCATTCACTTATATGGCACGTAATTAACCCATCACGCACACAACCAGAGCCAATAGATCTCGCTCTATTACAACACGTTTGATTTCCCAACTTTGTGCGCAGGCCTCCTCTCAGGTCCTTAAATTGTTTGTTCGCTAATGCTGCATTTGGATCGGAGCCCGCTCTGCTCTCGCTACCTGTCTTTGACCCCAGAAGCAGTGAACTTTGCGACTCGCTGATTTGCTCGTGCATGCGTAAAAATGTCTCCGGCAGCAGTCTAGAGGATCTATGCATTAAACCTGCAAGACTTCACTTTTTTGTTTTTTCATGATTCATAGTTTGTCCCAACAGAAGTCTTCAAGTGCAAAAAATGAAAAAATATGAGGTAATAATCGAGGTTTTTGTCTTAATTTGAGTACATTCTGACTGATTCACCAATGGGACAAAGCCCTTTTGTCTCATTTCAAGAACTGTTGCTTTATTTTCTCATTCCAAGATCGTTTTGCTTTGTCCCTTTGCAAATCTTGTTTTAAAGCAGTCAAATTGTGCTCAAAATAAGACACATTTTTGTCCCAATTTGAGCATTTTTTGAACTTTTTGCAGTGTAGAAGTAAACTCTCAATGGCTACAAGCTGTCTTCTTCTTGTTAGAAAAATTTGTACGTTTTGCTTAAGTACTTACTGTTACTAGGGTGGTCCTCTCTTTTTCAATCTTTCTGTCAAAGCAGAGGTTTTTTACGACAGAGGTGACTAAAACAATGTGAAAGAACCAAACTGGATATCGATTTTTTATTGCACTTTGAGAATTTTGAAAAGGAGGTAACTTGTTAGTAATGAACATGCAGGTTTTTAATGCAGTGTTAAAATATTGCATAAATATGTGAATATATATAACATGTTCTATACTATCAGTCAACAATGTTTCCCCTGCACATATCTATTTTAAATCACCAATATAGAAAATATAACAATAATTCTGAGCTACATGCATTTATCAAAGAAGTCTGAAACCAAGCCTCAAAAATACCTTTAAATTGTAATTGTGGCAGCAGAGGGACAAAACCAGACCATGGAGTTAGGCAGTTATTATGTTAAGATCTCAAACTTTCTTATACTTGACTATACTCTTTTAAAAAGTAACAAGTAAGGTGACATTTAGAGGAAAATAGGCTGTACTAATTCTGCGTGGTTAGCTCTCATTTCTAAGCAAGAAAGTACTGGGTTCGAATCCTGGTCAAAACTGGACTGAGTGGTATACTCCCCTGTGTCTATGTAGGTTTCCTCCGTGTACTCCGGTTTCCCCTATCAGTAAAAACCTGCACAACCCTCCAGCTCTGGTCTTAAACAAGCCGAGCATCAACATCTGGAGACCACAGCTCACGGAGGCTCTATAGGTACAGTCCAGGATGGGTCAAATGCAAAGGACAAATTGCCATAACATTTAAAACTAATAATGGAACAAATATTGGGAAATAAACTTTGTTGAATCAATCTGAAACGATGCCATTGGTTCCTACTGGCGGCCGAGATGCCAGAGAGGACCATGTGTACTGAATGATGCCACATATTTTATAGATTTTTATCATAAACTAGTTCAAGGTTTTAGTCCTTCGTGGTGACTTTAATCCAGATTTAATCCAGATTTAGTCAAAACAACAGCAAAAGAATATGAACCCTTGGGCACTTTTTAATTGAACCATGTGTACATCTATCTAAATCTACATGCAACTCCACTCAATGCAAAGGATTCAAAGGTTCTCTCGTGGTCCTTTGACTTGTCGAGGCCATAACTCACCCACTCACAGCCTCAACAAAGAAGGACTTTAAACTCGTACAAGAGCTGTAGAAATGTAAGCCGCCTGCTGCCTCCCAGGCCTGAAAACCAAATGTGTGGCACGCTCTTGTTTTTGTGTTGGAGAAACTCGATTCTTGTCGGAATATCGGCTTACAGCGCTACACAAATATGACTGCGGGACATGTCTTTCTCTCCTTTTGCATGTTCAAGGAATGATGGAACATTCCAGAGGACAAGCTGCACCAGAGAGCCTCAGATGTGAGAGGCAAGGTGGAATAATGTAAGAGGGATCAAAGTCAGTCAAGCCAGTATCAAAAAATACCCCTTTGATCTTCTCTTATCCATTCAACAAGGCAAAATGTGATATGTTTTACAGCTGTTTTCCATTCGCCGGGGCTTGTGTAATGCTGTTTCTAGTCACATTTATTTTTATATACTTTTTTACATATTTATTTTTGAGATTTGCCTTTAGCGTTCAATTGGTGAAAATTTCATAATTCAAAAACAAAACAACAATTGTTCGGCATAAAAAATATTAACAAATACAAAAATAGAAGATTTGAAGGATAAAGAGACGTACACACAAGCATGCATCAACGTATACACACAAAAGCACACAAAAACCTTCCACTCCTACCACGGACAATATTCATTTTTGAATTGACTCTTTCTTAACCATGGTTCCTCCTTTACATTCCCATACATGGTACTATCTACTAGTTAGATTTTATTATAATTTTCCCCTGGCATGAAAAAAGCACAAAGGCTTTATTAAAGGAATAGGCCACCGTTTTTACATACTTACCTTACTAGTTGATATGTACCTGTCTAGTCTTTGTCCGTGCGCTCTGTCATGCAAACGGAGCACAAACGCAGCGTCTTCCACAGACTGTATAGTACCAAATCAGCTACCGTTAGAAGCTACCAAACTCTTCCACGTGTTCCCTATTTAAATACAGTTACGTGACGTGTTACACTACAAAGTATAGTAACACAGAAATGTAACATGTCGATTTTCTCAGCGGATAAAAAGGGGTACTATATTGTGAGGCGTAATAATACGAGGATCACTACGTCCGCGCACTAACTCCTCTCTCCCGCTCACTTCCGTCAATAGAAGCAGCGTGAGCGGGAGAGAAGTCTTTAGGAGTTAGTGCGCGGACGTAGTGCTCCGCTGAGAAAATCGACATGTTACATTTCTGTGTTACTATACTTGGTAGTGTAACACGTCACGTAACTGTATTTAAATAGGAAACACGTGGAAGAGTTTGGTAGCTTCTAACGGGAGCTGATTTGGAACTATACAGTATGTGGAAGAGGCTGCGTTTGTGCTCCGTTTGCATGACAGAGCGCACGGACACAGACCAGACAGGTACATATCAAGTAGTCCAAGGTAAGCTAAGAACATATGTCAGTATGTAAAAACAGTGGCCTATTCCTTTAATTTACTCGTTGTCTGTAATAATCAATTGATAGGGACCTTATAAAGTGGAAAGGAAATGATAGATTTCACCATTCCATACTGTTGGGGAAAGATACAATCAAGGAAAAGTCTGGATTTTAACTATTTAGAAGACATTATTGACTGTGCAACTAAACTTTGTGTGTTTCCGGGTGTCAGAGACCAAGAATGTTCCATAAATGTCTAAATAAAGAGAACATCATCCCTTCATTCACCTGCTGCTGAATAGAGTTGGACCTCTTTTATTGAACTGCTGGGATAGAGGTAAGAATAACCTTGGTCTGTAAAATGTGCTATAAAAATAATCAAAAAAACAAAAAAATAAAGGTGGTAGGTCAAAAGGATAGTTCCAAATGTGCATTTTGGGTCAATGGCAGAGGCCAATAAATCTCAAAGCCTGATCCCAGAATATCTCAGAAGCTAAGCAGGGTAAGGCCTGGAATACAATGTGAAGAGAGACCTTTGGGAACAACAGGTGCCACTGTGGGACGGCTGAGGCTGTAAACGTGCTAAACTGTCTCGGGCAAGACAATTCTCCCTCGTGGCCTAGTGCGTATCGGGTGTGTGACCAATGTGTCAGATTGGCCGAAGTGTCCGTATTAGAGCTATAAAAACAATTCTTTGTCAATATTAACATTAAACTATCTTAACAATTTACTATCTTCTTTGTCATCAATACTAGCCTTAATTCTGGTAAAACATAAAATACAATTTTATGTGTTTGATTTGAATTATGTTATCATTTTAGTTTGCTTTACTGCCTGTAGCAAGTATCTGTCATTTTGTGCAATTTTGAGAACCTCCTCGGAAAACGACATATTTTTTATCTCTATCCTTCAAACAAATGAACAAATAAATATATATAAATAATCTATTCCCTATCCATCAGTCCATGTTATGCAATGTGACAGGCTTGGAGATGGCCAAAAGAGAGAAAACGCTTTGAAATACTTGCTCTTACCAATCTCCCCGCCTCATTATTATGCAGGTCTATTAGCGTCCTGATGTCGCTCTTCCCTCTCCTCCTCTTCGCGTCCATAAACTGTTTGGATTTCTCGTAGCCAAACTCCACGTCGTCGCCGCAGCCGCCCCACTCCCACTTGACCCCGTCCCCCGCGGCGTAGGAGGAGGGCCGGGGAGGGGCGCGGTTGCGAGTGGCCTCACACCCGCACAGCAGCAGGTCGCCCATACTACAGGCCTGGGTCACCGCATGGGTCACTCCGGCCGCGGTGATGGCGTAGACGAACGCGGTCTCACGGATGTCTGGACGAAAAGAAAGACACACATATAAGTTTATACATCGACAAAACACATGAGAAACAGTTGAAATGCGTATTTATGGACATTGGTCTTCTGCCGCTTTTGGATCATTGGCTCTATGTGTTTTTTTTATGATGGCATTTCTTGTGTTTGAACGGTTTGATTCTTTGGTCTGTGTTGGCCAATTTAGCGGTTTGTAAATTCCTCCAAGATAACTACTGTTGTGTAGTTAGGGTTATACCAAGCCCCGGCGATCCAAGATGGCGCCGTATTCAAATGAATGATTTGTGCTCAGTGGCGCTTTGTGCCGGCACGGTCGCTGACATGTTAGCGGAAATCGCCTGGAAGTTGCAAAGATCCATGGGAAACTCGCCTGTATTTATAATACGTTGCGCGAAATACGCGTGTGTGGCTGTCATGCACGTGCACAGAGGGGCTCGGCCGCGCTCTGACCAATCAGAGAGCGGGAGCCAGACAAGCAGAGTTTGTGGCACTAAAGTGTAGATTTAAAAAAAAAAAACGAAGGATTTAAGAAGAAAAAAAGTTCAGGATGACAAGGGGAACTAAAGTTCCCACAAAATCCAATCTTTATGAAAGCTGTAGGTTCTCTGTCAGCTGAGGTCGAGCTTACATTTGAGTTTACATTGAGTTCTATGGGGAAATATTCTGGGTAGCCCACGTGAATTTAGTCTGGTTCAGTCTGCAGTACCGCAAGAGTCCCCCGAGCACATGGGTTCTTCAGCTCCAAGCTAGTAATACCCTATCCAGTTATTATAAAACAGTAGATTCATGGGTTATACACAGTGGCGCAGTGGTTAGCCCAAGAAGGTCCTGGGGTCAACATTTATGTGCAGGTGCACTAAAACACCAGAGAAGTGTGATGAGACTGGTATTACATTGTACTGTATTGAGTCATGTGTATGTGGATTGGAAAACACACTTTATGGAACAAAGCATTGGCATAAAGGACTACATCTCCATCACGTGACCTTTTTGGCTTTGATTTGAGATATTTCCCATAGCTGCACACTGAACCACAGCTGTCGGTTTATTTATGGTGCTGAGCTTAGCGCTGAGACCAGACGACACGTCCAACCAAAACTGACAATTATCAAATGTCTCCAACTGGCTACTGTTGTGTTCTCACCTCTTCACGCTCTCATTGTGTCTATAGTTAAACATGTTTGGCTACAACAACACAGCGATTAAAAGATTATAACGTTACATTTTATTTTGATGAATTTGAAAGTGAACAGTAAAATACAAGGCAAAAGCTGACAGAAAGTAAGAAAAATGACATAAATAAAACAATATTTGCAGATGAGCAGAGAAAATACTATATGTCTGTTGGATTAAGAGGCAGACAAATTGAAGTGAATTTGGAGAGAGATTAAAAAAAACCCTAACCCTTACCACTTCCCTTTAAATACAATTAAGTCCCCACTTGATCTGACACTAAATTGCTCCTAGAATGTGCGTGTGTTTGTGAATTGTCCTTTAAATTGGTCAGTTTGGTCGGTTGTTATGGCTGTTTTGCCGCATATCTGGATTTACAAAAAAACAAAATCACAATGTAAAGCTGATGTTGATCTGAAGATCTGAAGATTCAAGATTGAAGAATGTACTGTATTTGCCATTTGCAGTAAAACCACATTGGAAAAACTGTGCAAGACTACCCCAGTGTACACCAGAGCACCTGGGAGAAACGTTTTCACTACACAATAGACTCATGTTGCTTTTCGAATTGAAGAATCACATTAAAAACACCGGGATCACAGAAAGCGATCAACCATGGATTTTTACAGAGCTACTTTTCAATGTGAGTCAATAGGAGCTAGAGCGAGCTGGAGCCTAACTTCACCATGAGCACTTCCCTATAGGGCATTGTCCATCTATATACAGGCCGCCAACCTCACAAAGCATACACCAGAATCACATGTGGGTGAAGTGTCTTGCCCAAAGACACATCAATTATTATTTTTATCTTATTTAAAGGGGAATAAAATCAAGAAAATGCTGCAAAAAAAGAGAATGACAGAGAAAATAGGTATATAATAATATTAATGGACACCAAAAACATGTCAAATAAATGAATGAAAAAATAAATAAAACTAAAATAAAACATACACTGCCCTGTTTAGCTGAGAAATGACAGGACTAGGTTTATATTGATATGACTACAATACTGAATACTTTGCATATACGTACAGAGACATAAAACTCACTGAGAAATGGCCGTGCGTCTTAACAAAGTCTAAAATACATCTCCCACTGTCTCCCCATCTTAAACTTGGATTTGATTCTGTGATTGTAACTGTGTCTGTTGCTTCACGTCTCATGACTCATGTTCCTGTGTGTTTTGCCGTGTGTAAAACAATGAAACTGGATATTTGTTGCTCATTTCACAGATTTATGTTTAGTGCCACAGGCGAGAGAAGAGCTCGGGCCTGTTGACTTTTGGTCTTTCTCTGTGCTGACAACCACGGTCGCTTTGGAAATACACCTGTAGGCGAAAAATACCTTCTTTTTACATGTTTTTCAAAATCACACTGATGCATGTTTACATCCATGTCGAAATACCTCTCCATCTATCCATAAGGCCCCGTCCCAATACTCGCACTTCCTCCCTCGCGCCCCTCATTTGCGCAAGGGTGGGTGCGAGTGCGTAGGGTGTCCCAATTTTACAGGGAGGTCTTTAGCCCCGCCCTCTTTACGCCCCATGATCCAGCGGACTCTGGCGAAGGATATTGCCCATAATTCTTTGCGGTAAACACCAAAACGTCGGGAAAATGCATTTAAGTGTACATTCTGAAATGTGTATGCTGTATGTGTGTAAATAAGTTGTGCTTTGTTACTTGGAAAGAAGCATACGTACATGTCTGATGAAGAATTACGGAGATTCTATTTGAACAATTTCATAATTTTTTTTAATCCAAGCATTTATATAACATTCAATTTAAACTTTACACATAGTAAAGAAAACTTAGGATCTATACAAACTGACCAGATAACAGTTAGTTACCCACATTTAACTTAAAATTATACAGCTATCTCAAAATACGAAAAACCAATATACATGTATTTTATTGTTTGTGGTGCAGGGTCAGACCAAATTACCTTTAAATTTCATAAAGTTTAGGTCTGAAAATGACCATCTCTTGACGAGTCGATGACGTAACCTGCACTCAGTGTGAACTGTCTCAATTCCGCTTTTTTTGCACGCTTGTAACCTGTGCACTTCAAACAAATGCCCACTTCGTAGAGGAGTGTAGGCTGCAGTGTGGGTATTGAGACAGGTCAGCACTAGATCATACACGGAATCGGGACGGAAGCGGAAGTAAATACAACAAACTACCTATTCATGCCTAAACTTAACCAGCCATTCCCATAAAATAACCCTAACTTAACCAGTCACCACTTAAGACTCATTAGTCTAAAACTAATTCTAAAGTAGGAGTGTTCCAATCCAATCCAATCCAATCCACTTTATTTATATAGCACATTTAAACAACAGTTACGTTTCCAAAGTGCTGCACAAAAAAGTATAAAATAAATAACAACTTATCCTTAGCTTCACCAAGTATAAAAGAATAAAAATATATAAAACAGATTAAAACCATAAATAGAAATAAAAATAAAAACACAGAGGACCACACAACTCACGCAGTGTTAAAAGCCAAAGAGTAAAAGTGGGTCTTAAGACGAGACTTAAAACACTCTACTGTGGGGGCCGTCCGGACATGGAGGGGAAGAGCGTTCCAGAGCTTAGGGCCGACCACAGAGAAGGCTCTGTCCCCCCGGGTTTTAAGTCTCGCGTTAGGGACCACGAGCTGGAGCTGGCTCTCGGACATCAGGGCGCGCGCAGGAGTGTAAATTTGGATGAGGTCCGAGATGTAATCAGGGGCCTGTCCATGCAAAGATTTAAAAACAAACAGTAAAATTTTAAAATCAATTCTAAAATGAACAGGGAGCCAGTGCAAAGACGCGAGTACAGGGGTGATGTGTTCGCGCTTTCTGGCCCCCGTTAAAAGTCGTGCTGCTGCGTTCTGGACCAACTGCAACCGGGAGAGGGTTTTCTGATTTACACCAGCATAAAGTGCGTTGCAGTAGTCCAGACGACTGGAAATAAAAGCATGCACAACCTGTTCTAACAAGTTAAAAGATAAGAATGGCTTCACTTTTGATAAAAGCCGAAGATGATAAAAACACAATTTTAAAACGCCATGAACTTGTTTGTCAAATTTAAAATCATTGTCTATAGTCACGCCAAGGCTGGTGACTTTGGAACGCACATAATTTCCTAGTGGTCCCAAGTCAGTAAGGGCCGGTCCAAATGTTAAAATTTCCGTTTTTCCCTCATTCATTACTAAAAAATTCTGGGCTAACCAAGCCTTGACGTCACATAGACAGTTGAGCAGGGGCGTCAGGGGGGCATGGCCTCTCGAAATTGGCATATAAATTTGGCAGTCATCTGCATAAAAGTGATAGGACACTCCGTGTCTGTTAAAAATCTCCCCAAGTGGGAGGAGATAGAGTGCAAAAAGGATAGGTCCCAAGATAGATCCTTGAGGGACACCACAATAAAGTGAGGCAGAAGAAGATGTGGCATCCCCCAGCCTGACTGAGAAAGACCTCTCCGACAGGTAGGACCTGAACCACTCCAAAGCAGTCCCCCTGACGCCCACACAATCTCTCAGGCGTTTACGCTTCCTGGGTAGCGGCGCATTTACCTGGAGGAGGTAGTCAGGCAGGTCGCAAAGGTGTTATTCTTTATTCAAGGCTAGGTTTAAAACAGTCCTCTTTAGTTTAGCATATGGCTAGGAAGGTAAGACTCGGAGAAGGTTAAACTCCTCAGAGTGTTAGTCAAGCTGCATAGGGAGTCAGTTTGCTGGGAGAAGTATGGTAACTTGAGCACTATCCTCTCCTCCTTCCTACTTTATCTGTTTAGCATTTTTAGGATTCTGACTGTAGTTTGTTCATTGCTATTCACTCGTTGTCCCATT